GAAAATGAGATCCCAATTTTTATCGTTTGGTTTGAAATTTCATCTCATCTCATCTCATCTAGACCAAGTATAAAAAATCATGCACATATCTCCATAGATATGGATTTTGAATGAAATTTGCATCACTAAACTTTTGTAATTAAAAATCTTCAATTGAATTGGTCAATATCGTGACTCCAAAATTAATGCAATTTCTTTTGCTTTTCTATTGGTGCTTGATAAAGCTTATCAACATGCTTTATCGTAAGACGAATTTATGACCAATCATTTTTCATATTTCTCACATCTCTTCACCTCTAATGGTGAGATAAATTTATATTGCAATAGACACCATGATATCATGATATATATTTAAGATATCTCTTGAAATATTTTGTTGTTTTAGCTGTCAAAGAATAACAGCAATTGAACGAGCTTTGCATTATTTCAATTTTAGCTCACATCTCTTGCTTTATTACACTATGCAATCAAATTTCTTGATTTTGCTATTATGAGTGCAACTTGAGTTTTTATGTTGCCACTTCATGATCATAATATATATCGAAAATTTTGGTACTGCGGTAGCATTTCAATTCACAAACTTAGAGAGTTTTCTCTCTTATATATCTCGATAAGTAACTTTATTTTATGTTACTTTTACAAGACGCATAATAAAATATTTACTCATTCTTGAAAATGAAACAATAATTTTGCTCGCTGTCTTCTAGACACATTTTCATTATGAAATATTTGGCTTGTATACACATATATGGATCTTCAACTTCAATGATCCATAACTAATAGTTACGTTTGTTCTTGAACTATCGAATATATATAATTTCAAATTGCGTGATATGACTCGTATTATTGAATCACAAAGGAATAGTCTTTTCGAGTACATATATATATAATCTCAAGATTTGAGTTTTATTGCTTAAAATTATGTACTCGATTTGAGCCTGAAGGCTTCATATAAATCATTATAGTACTTGATACGAAATAATAGTATTATAATTAACTCAAATTTTCATATATATCATTGAAACACAAGCTGAATAGTTCTTTCGAGTACAATATACTATTCAAATATCAAGGATTGAGTTTTATACCTTGAATTTATATACTCAATTTAGGCCTCAAGCCTTTATATTTGGTACTTAATTGTAAAATAATGGTACCTTGAGTGGGAAATACCCATTAACTCAAATATTGAATTTTGAGTATCATCACTTAGACCTTGAGTTTCAATCGAGATATCTAGTCTTCAAATTTAATCTAGGCCTCAACCCTTTATATTTAATATTCCTCCATATAAGCTTTCAAGCTTTCATATTTAAACTAGGCTTCGAGCCTAAAATTTATGAACTTCGAGTTCTTTTTCGATTGATGGAGCTTTTCAAGTTGCATAATTTAGAGAGCAAGTGGTTTTTTTTTTTTTTTTTTTTTTTTTTTTTTTTTTTTTTTAAATATACCACTCAAATCTTCGAGACACTTCATTGCACGTGCTCGATTTGGGCTTCAAGCCTCAATATATAATAAAATTGTTATATTACATTGATCATGAAAAAATAGTACTATAAATGGGGAATACCCTCTAACTCAAATGTTCAAGAGTATTATCATTTAGACTTAAAGTCTAATATACCCAATCGAGATTTTTAATCTCGTATGTAATCTAGGCTTTAGGCCTTAAACCCCCCCTTTGGTTTTAAAAAAACCGGGTTAAAAATTCGCACAACGGACAACTCTGGCAAAGTGGAGTATTAAAAGCTTTTCTCTCTCGATCGAGATCCGATTTCGATGATTCAAAATGTTCCGAAAAGCCAACAGAAAATCTACAAGTTTCGTATTTTGAATTTTCTGAAATTCGGACAGTACCAGGTCCAAAACAGACATCAAAGTACAGACTCGTGAATTGCACAAAAAATAACCTACAACAAAATTAAGACGATTAATATTTAATCAATTTAAAACAAAAATAAAATATTTAAATCAAATCCTTTTTCATATTCTATGGTTGAGAAGTAATTATCTTCTTTGGATCATATTTACTCGAAAATTAAAATAGAACAATCGTGATGTTAACGTGTTGAGAAACTAATAAACAATATACAAGAAGTAGAGAATAAAGTAGGGAGAATATGTAATATGTTATTCTATATCTTCAAGTGTATAAAATACATTACATAGTGCTCTATATATAGCACTAGAAGACCTCTCAAAGGTCATGAGATACAAAGCCATAATGGGATCATCAATAGGTATTATGGTGTGATAATGGTGGGAGTGATGGTGCTTGACGGTGGTGAGTAATGGTGGTCATCCACACCTTCTAGAATTCGTAAAATTTTTGAGTTTTTATTATATTTTAAAAAAATATTTTTTTACTATACTTTTTTGTCTTCAGTTAAAACAACTATATTTCAATAAAACAACTACTATTAAAACAACTGTTATTAAAACAATTATGATTAAAACAACTATATATCTCCAACAACTCTTATTTATCGAAATCAACTATTTGTTAAATCAACTATTTATTACAATCAACTAAAAAGTAATAAAAACAACTATATTACTATATGAAAACAACTATATTATTGTACGAAAACATCTATATATCTGTAAATAACACCAACACATTTTCAACAAAAACAAACATTCATTATACTATTGATTGAACACAAAATTAGCCTTCAATATAAGAATTCAACCAAAAACTCCAATTAAGAAAATTGAGATTCGAGAATTGAGAACGTGAAATATGTTTGGTTATTTTAGATAACATAGAAGGGCAAATTAGGTATATTAGTCATGTCAAAAACAATATTGATTAAAAAAATACTTAATATAAGGTAGGGGGTTTCACTAATAATGAAAAAGAGGTTATATCCACCTTAATATAAGTAAATGAGTTGGGGGTTCACTAATTATCCCTAAAAAAATGCTAGAGGGGGTCTCATTAACAATCCCTTTGTATTGTGTGAATTTTAGGATTATACTGCCATTGGCAGTCCAAATCTCTTCGTTTTTGAGTTAACTAGACATGCTGAATAAATAGAAGCCTCCGATCGATTATTATTAATATATAGTACGTGACCAATATATAGTAACGTCAAAGATGTAATCTTGAAAACCTTGTGCAAAACCTTGAAGAAAACCCACTGCTTAATATAAGTAAATGAGTTGGGGGTTCACTAATTATCCCTAAAAAAATGCAAGAGGGGGTCTCATATATTAACAATCCCTTTGTATTATGTGAATTTTAGGATTATACTGCCATTGGCAGTCCAAATCTCTTCGTTTTTGAGTTAACTAGACATGCTGAATAAATAGAAGCCTCTGATCGATTACTATTAATATATAGTACGTGACCAATAAATAGTAACGTCAAAGATGTAATCTTGAAAACCTTGTGCAAAACCTTGAAGAAAATCCACTGCTTAATATAAGTAAATGAGTTGGGGGTTCACTAATTATCCCTAAAAAAATGCTAGAGGGGGTCTCATTAACAATCCCTTTGTATTATGTGAATTTTAGGATTATACTGCCATTGGCAGTCCAAATCTCTTCGTATTTGAGTTAACTAGACATGCTGAATAAATAGAAGCCTCTGATCAATTACTATTAATATATAGTACATGACCAATAAATAGTAACGTCAAAGATGTAATCTAGAAAACCTTGTGCAAAACCTTGAAGAAAACCCACTGATGCTACGCTAACGAGTCAGCCTACTTATCTTGAAGCCCAATGAGCCGGTCTCCAAGTACGAGAATGTCGGGGGTCCTTTGCCGCATGTCGAAGGGGTCAAAAGGTGGGATCCGCGTGATATCCTACAAAACCAATTAAAACTCTATGTGACTCGTCGGGGGTGGGTCTGACGATTACACTCCGACGCTCAAGTCAGATATTGGGAGTAAGTGATATTTTGCAAAGGCTAAAATATCACCCAAATTAGAAATGGATTAACAAATGAATCATACCTTATATTTATAGGAATAATAGACTACTAGTTTATCGTAAACTTCCGATGTGGGACAATTGTGCTTGAATCTAAGTAGATTTTCCCTCTAATTGGGCCAAATAACCTACTGAGGCTCATCACCCACCAAGAATAAATTCATGAATAATTGACAAGTTAAGAAAAAATGTGTATGGTAAAACTTACAAGTGTTTTAAATTAAGGGCAAGTTGTAGAAAAATCCCCAACCCATATTTGAACTTGTGATTCAATCCCCTATTCAACATTTTTCCCACTGGTACTACCCACTTTTTATGTTTTCTTAAAGGGGATCAGTATAACAAATCCCAACTTTTGCTTACTTGAATACCAAAAAAATAAAAAATAAATAATTAATAGTAAATTACTTTAATACCCTTAATGAAAATTAAAACCAAAAACATATTACAAATATTATTTTTCTTTCTTAAATACCAAATAATCAAATACCATTTCCCTCCTCACTCACAAACCCCTCACCTCCTCCACCTCCTTCTTCTCCCTCCCCCCAAAAACCCTCCTAAAAAACCTCAAAACTAAAGAAATCAAAACCTTACACAACTTGCAAAATGGCGTCAAATGACAATAGAATGGTAGTTTACGAGCAAGGAGAACCCATTAAGGTATGTATTCATGTATTTTTTGAGCTAAAACATCGATTTCGGTTTTTTTTTTTTTTTTTTTAAATCCGCCATCAACTTTCGACACATACAGGTCGAAAATGTGCTTATTTTTCGACATGTATGCGTCGAACAACATAATAATTGATATTATACTCATTTTCGACACTTAAATGTCGAAAACAGAGGTAAAATTCGACAGTTACCCGTCGAATTTTGCTATTATTTTCGACACCTAAGTGTCGAATTTGTCTCCTATTTTCGACACTTAAGTGTCGAATTTTTCCTATGTTTTCGACACTTAAGTGTCGAAAATAGGGGACAAATTCGACACTTAGGTGTCGATTATTTTCCTGTTGCAAATTTAATTGTCTAATATTTTCTCCACTTTTGTGTAGATTGATTGCACCCATTCATTTACCACGTCAGAAAAATTCCCAACAAAAGAAGCTTTATTGGCATGGGTTCGTGAAGTACGTAAAAGAATTGGAATGGTGTTAATGATTGCGGGTTCGAGTGACGGAAATAGAGGACGTAGGACACCGTATGTGATTGTTCGTTGTGAGCGTGGGGGCCTTTATGCTGGCAAGAAGGTACCCGGTAAAGATGATCAAAGACCGGGAAAAAGGAGCACCGCGTTCAAATAAATACAATTGTCTGTTTAAATTGAAGGGGACAAAAGAACACAAGGGTGATGAAAAGGCTGAGTGGAAATTGGATGTTTATAGTGGTATTCACAACCACAACTTGTTTGAAAACTTGCACGGACACTCTTATGCTGGAAGATTATCAAAGGAGCAGACTTCACTTGTTCACACTTTGAAGAAAACAATGGTGAAACCAAGGGCAATTCTAAGATTATTGAAGGAAAATGACCCGTCTAATGTAACTGGTATGAAGACAGTTTACAATACTATCTCTAAGTTAAATTTCAATGAATTATCTGGGAGATCTCAATTGCAATTATTGTTCGCCAAGTTGAAAGAAGATGAATACCTCTCGTACCCTAGATCGAACGAGTTGAATGCGATTACCGACTTGTTGTGTATCCACCCGAAATGCATTAAGTTGGCACAGTCGTATCCGTACGTATTCGTCATCGATTGCACGTACAAGACCAATCGTTACAGACTTCCATTTCTTGAGATTGTGGGTTTTACTTGTACCAACATGACGTTCTCCATTGCCTTTGCATACTTGGATCACGAAAAGACGGAAAATTTCGAATGGGCGTTGCGTTGTTTGATGGAGGCCATGACAAGTTGTCCTCGGCCTAATTGCATTGTAACAGATCGAGTTCATAAATCCATGATTGGAAGAGCGTCAGCCAGCTAGCCAGCCATCGAGTTCGTTGAATTTTTTGAGGCTAACGAAAGCTCATCGTACAACCGGCAAAGACATGCAGTGCCCCAAGCATACTCGCCGATCCGATCCAAATCAGAGACGAGATTTAGATACTCCACGTTTACCATGTTGCCGGTCTTGTCGCACAGTATAGTACACCCGAGCAAAAATAACAAATACGCCCGAATGGCGTATGTCCTCTTCTCCGCACTGTCTCTCATGGCCACCTTGCTAAATTTAGCCTTCAACCATTCCAGCTTCACTGTTTTCTTCTTGTCTACATCGTCCGGGTACTCACCTAGCAACTCGAACATCAAACGACTGGGCTTCGTTTTGGAATCACGGATCAAACGCTCGCAAGATACAGTACGCCCAACAACTGGCAAACCGACCAACGTACTCACATCATCAAGTGTGATGGTCATCTCTCCAACAGGTAAATGAAATGTGTTGGTAGCTGGTTGCCATCTCTCTATGAAGGCTCTAAGTAGATGGCCGTCCACAGTGTTGTACGATGCTTGTACAACTAACATTAATCCAGCTCTTTGTACTGCCTCTGTAATAAACGGCGCTGGTACCCAGCCTTTCAAAGTTCCTGTGTGATTTCGAATTCGAAATTCTGAGCCGCGCTCCGAGCGCTCTGGACCTCCGTTCACAATATGATAAGCAATGTGCTTATCAAAATTTGTGTACAATTCCGGTATCTCGGAACCTCGGACCGGTTCGTTGCTCGAATCACCAACTTCTACAGTCGAAGGTAGAGCCGATACCGGATTCGTTGAGGAAGAACCCTCTCCAGACTTCTTCTTGGTCGTGGTCTTTTTCTTGGTCGTGATTGCCTTGCCCTTGCCCTTATCGGATAATTCCTTCCTCTTCTTACGGTTCGAGACAGTCGGAGGTAAACGAGGTTCACGTGGTTCTTCCACTGCAAAATAACACACAAATAAAAATAAATATACATAATATAAACACAAGCAAATAAAAATAGGAAAGAAAAAAAAAATACACATAAATCATTCGACAGAACACTGTCTAAAATTGGTTGAAAATTCGACAGCTAGCTGTCGATTTTTCAACCAATTTTCGATAGTGTTCTGTTGAATTACCAAACATTAAGTTCAAAGTTTTCAAAACAATCGACAACTATATGTCGATTTTTGCAGAATTTTCGACATCAATCTGTCGAAAATTTTGAAAAAATCGACATATACAGGTCGATTATTTTGAACAAGGAACCGACCCACGAATCTCAAATCAATGCTCAAATCGACTGAAATTAGATGCACCCATTACTAATTAACGATCATTCCTACCTAAAACAACCAAATCCTAATTACCCATATCAAACAATCAAATCCTAAATAAATATTAAAGAAAAAAAAATCGAAAACAAATATTACTTGTACAACAAAGGCGGCGGCGGCTTGATAACAATGGAGGTTTCAGCGGCGGCGGCGTCCGGCGGCGGCTAGGGTTGGAGCGGCGGTGACGACGGTGGAGAGGAGAAGAAAGGGTGGAAAGAAAAGGTTTTTTTTATTTTATTTTTTTATTTGGTTTTAAAATAGGTAATTTCAAAAAAATTTTTGATATAATTGATATTTTGTATGAAATGGTGTTTTTGTACTCTTCTTTTTATTTTGGTATTAAAGTTAGAAAAAAACTTATAAATATGTACTCAATTGTGGTTTTAAACTTGGTAGTATTCAAGTAAGTAAAAGTTGAGATTTGTTATAGTGACCCCCTTTCTTAAGATTTACTTCCCTATCCACTTGGAATGACAATTTTGCCCATTAAGTTGTGTTTTTTTTCATTTCGTGTTCTTTTCTTTTTCCTTTTTCTTTTTTTTTTCTCTTCCTTTTGTTTTTTACTCTCTCTCTAAAAAAAACAACCACCGACCATCCACCATGAGCAACTCCCCACATTTGATGGATTTAGGTTTTTTTTTCTTCATTATTAGTATTATAAGAAATTTATTATCATAAATTATATTAAAAAAAATTTGGAATTAAAAAATGACTTGTAATTTTTTTTCATTATTTATATGACTTTATTATTTATTTTATATTAATTATATTTATTGTAAAAGAAAAAAAAACTCATGAACCACCTCACGAACAACTAAAAATGAGCTCGGGCTCAACTCGTTAGAAATCTCGAGCTCGAAAAACCGAGCTCGAGCTTTTGTCGAGCCGGCTTACCGAGCTCACGAGCCGACTCGGCTCATTCACACCCCTAATAATAAATAGTACAATACGTTTGTCATTTAAACTGAATTGTATTCTTTTGGAGTATTATGAGTTAAGACAGATTTTGTTTTGGATATTGTATTGTAAGGAAGCATTTCGTGATTTAAGATTGAACTCCAGGTTTTAGGCTTGCTGTAATTTTTTTTCTTTTTCCTATCTTGGTGGTACACGTAGTTCGTTGTCTGTGAACGTGTAGTATACGAGAAATATCAATGTTGTACAAGCCTTTTCAATTAATCAACTAACTAATTTATGTAAATCAAACATTATACTTGTCGGGATGAATGTTAATCCAACATTCATACATATAGATGGAGTCTACGATGTTTTGAAGTTTGTTATCTAATAATAATACTCCATTCGTCCCAATTTAAATGACGTTTTGGGTTGTTGGATACATATTAAGAAAATCAATAAATGTGTATAAATTATAATAAAAAATATAGAAAAATACTAATACATCATACAACTAATTAATTAGGAGTCATAAAGGGTAAAATTGGAAATAATGCAATTAATGATTAATTGAAAATCTAACACGACGAATAATTTAGGATAAGAAAAACTCTCTACAAAGACATATAATATGGAACAGATGGAGGATTAAAATATTACAAATAATGAAAAATACAACAGTTTTGTTCCGTAGTATTTTAGACAAATAAACGGGGTTTGTCGCACGTGCTTGTGTGGTATACGAGGCATATCAATGTAGTACAATAGGGTAACGGTCTAGGGTTCGAGTCCCCCCATCCCCGACTTTCCCTTGTAATGGACTTGAATTTACTCAAAAAAAAAAAAAAACTAAATTTGTGTGAATCGAACAAAAATGTGCATTATATTTGTCGGGATGAACGTTAGTCTAACTTCACACATATAAATGAATTTTACAAAAAATACAACAATTTTCTTGCGTAGTTATGCTAAACAGATAAATATAGTTTATTCTCAGTACACATGTACTATATGACTCGTATAAATGTAGTACAACTATTTGCAATTAATCAACTAAAAATTTGCATAAATCGAACAATAATATGTATTATAAAGCCCAATACGTCATATTCCGAATTTTAATTAAGTAAAACACTCGATGATTTACTATTTTACACTTGTATGGACTATTGCCACTTGGATTGTCGGGGGTGAGTGTTAGTCCAACATTTATACAAACTAGTATTTATGCCCGTGCGTTGCACGGGATCGCATTATAAAAGAAGAGAAAGTAATTATTTAAATACATGACAATAAAATTTATAATAAATTTCTTTTATCAAACAATATTAGAATATTTAGCTGTCAAATTTAAATTATACTAATCTTAAAGTAAACATAAATTTTGATTGTCAATATATAAAAATTATGTTAAACAATAAATAATATAAAATTAATAATTGAAACTTTTCATGCTAGTAATTATTCCCAGTGTGTTGCACATGGTTAGTGTACCAAAAAAAGTAGAAAATAATAATTTAAATGAATTGTTGTTAAAAAATACCGCATCGAATAAAGAAAAAATATTAATCAGGAAATTTTTTTTTTTTAAAATAACTCACAAAAACATGAAAATAATTGATATATATATAATTGTTGTTATAACCTTGATTTAATTAGTAACAATGTTAAATAATTATACGTTTATATGATATGTGAAAATTTTGCGGAAAATATTAAACTTGAGGAATAACATTTATATATATATATATATATATATATATACACACATATATATATATATATATATATATATATATACACATATATATATATATATATAGTTGTGGTAAATTAAGGGAGCAAAACTAATTAATTTAGTTACAATGTTAATTGTTAAATAAATATTTGTTTATAATACATTGCAATTTTTCATTGCAAAATTAAACCGTTCATCCAAACAATACATGTGTATATTATCAAAGTTCAAACATTTTTTCGAAAAAATGGGCGGATTAAGTAAAATTTTATAAATATACTGTACAATCTTGTAAATACATTGAGCTAAATTGACAGTTATTACCAAGGTTACTTTTACTATTTCAAAAAATGCATTGAGCTAAATTGAAAAGTGCAAATTACATAAAAGACTTTGAATTTTTACCATGTTCTTTTGAACATTTTCCCCATTACTCACTCAAAATACTTAAAAGAAATATGGGGAGAAGGTGAAAAACGAATGATATAAATGAGATCTGAAAATTTTGCAAACCCTGAAAAAAAATGTTGAATTTGCCGTTGGATTCTCCAATGTAATTTGTACATTCAGAAACCAAAATCATACATTATAAACCATCCTAATCTATCAGGAAATTGCCAAACAATGAACTTAGAAACACATAATCAACTGAAGTTGTCCTCATTTCAACTTAACTTTGCCCCTAGGTTTAGGTTTAGGTTTAGGGTTATAGGTCAAAATATATTTTTTTATATATAAGATGCCAAACAAATAAATCGAGTTAGTTGTCAGTTGTATGTGTAGTGTACGAGGCATATTAATATGGTACAAGCCTTTTCAACTGATCAACTAAATTTATGTAAATCGAACACAAATGTGCATTCTACTTGTTGCAATGAACGTTAATCCAACATTCACACTTATAAAAGTGGGTTTTACGAAAAATACAATACTTTTCTTATGTAGTATGCCAAACAAATAAATGTAGTTTATCCTCCGTGCACGTGTAGTACATGACTCATATAAATGTAATACGGCTATTTTTTATTAACCAACTAACTTTGCGTAAATCAAACGATAATACGTATTATGAAGCACATTACGCCATATCCCTAGCTTTTAATTAAGTAAAAAACTCGATTACTTGTTATTTTACACTTGTATAGACTATTGTCACTTGGATTCTACTTATATGGACTTTTGGAAAACGAAGTTCCCCGTGTCAATTTCCCTGTTTTCCTGTGTCCGCGTTCCCGTGTCCATGCTACATAGATCTGTACCAAACTAACGAGATCTCTATTCGTTCAATCACACCCCACTACAAATACTCCATATATTTTGTATGTATGTATTTTGGTTATGCTTCAAAATAAATAGTTGTATGTTGTTACTTGTTAGTCTACTTAACATATTTTATCAACATTTTTTGTTTATTGCCTTAAGAATACGTAATAAAATATTCAATGGTTGTTTGCAGTGGCGAATCCATTATTTAAGTTAAAGGATGTTTGGTATTTGACTGAGAATGGTAGAGTTAAATAATAGTAGGACGAGCACAAAAATTATGAGGGTTCGGAGGCAGAGCCCCAATTTTATATAGGGTATTCGTAAAAACAACACAAAACAATAAGTATTTGTAGAGGAGTTCGTTCCAAATGTAAATTGTGAATGATTTGGAACAAATAGATTGATTTTAGAAAGGATTTTTATTGTAATTCTATGTTGTATAATTCACCCTAGAAAAGTAATGTTTCGTCGATGTTCCACCCAACTCTATCGTTTCTTGATGTCAATCATCATATGGAACATTAGGGGAATTGGGAACCCACATTCCCTTCATTATTTACAATCGCTTTTTAAACAACATAAAACACTTATGGTGGTTCTTTTGGAACCCAAGCAACAGGAGTCGAAAATTCATGAGATGATTGCTAGGAAAACAGGGTTTAATAATTTTCTTCAAAATTAGTTCCATCATCATTTCTCGTATGAACCAAACACAATTGGAATTTCAAAAGTTATTGATTTTCTTTTTTTTTTTGCATTTTTATTTTGCTTATTTTGAAATTCATGAACCAATCAGAGCCTTATGAAAAGCAAGGAGGCTCGAATCTGCAATGATAAGGGATGCAGTAATTTAATGAGTTTAATTATTTTGAATGCCACATTAACCGATGCTAGTTTTGAGGTCGATATTTTCTCCATGGATCAATATTCAAAGGAGGGGAAATATAATTTGCTGTGAATGATCGTGTTTATTGAATGCTAAAGCTGTCGCAAATTCGAGCTCCGTCAGAGTGATGCATTTGTCAAGGGTAGAATCCGATCACCCTTTACTTATTAAAGTTATGGAAGCTCAGCCCCGGAAATCTCGTTTTTACTTCCAAAGTTCACATCTTTTGTCGAATCAATTTGGCAGGTGG